TCCACAGCAATACATGCAGCAGCAGCAGCAGCAGCAGCAGCATCAAGAAGAACATTTGCTGATATCCAGTCTTTAGCAGCAGCAGAAGCTGCTGCTGCTGCTGCTGCTGCTGTAGCAGCACAACAGCAGCAGCTGCTGCAATGGTGGTAAGGAAGCGCCTATGGGGCTGTATGTAAGAACATGTGTATCTATTTATGTATTTATTTATTGTTATTATTTTGTTTATTTATTTAGAAGTATAATAGTACAAATTAATTCTTTTTTTTGTATTTTTTCTCCATATAGCAGCACTGATGCAGTGCAACACAACGATATAGACATACAGAGAAAAAGAAAGGAAGAAAGAAAGAAAGAAAGAGGGAAAAAGGAAGAAATAATTGAATTTTTTCTTTCTTTAGGGAGGCAAAATGGTATTTCGCCGGCAAAAAGGTACTTTTTTTTATCTGCATTTATTTGCAGACCCAAAGAAAAACAAACACTTAAAAAAAAAAAGGTATACGCCCCTCCGGGTGTATAGGCAGCTTGTAGTAATTGCCTAATTATATATACAATTAGAGGAGTAAATAAGAAGAAAAAAAAGGATAAATAAACAATAAAAGTAATAATTTATATTTATTTCAATTTTTTATTTAATTATATATATTTTTTTTTCTTCTTTTTTTATACAACAAGAAGAGAAACTAAGCGGGCATGGTCTAGTGGCTATGACGTCTGCCTAACACGCAGAAGATCCCGGGTTCGATCCCCGGTGCCCGTACTTATTTATTAATTCGTTTTTCTTTATTTTTTTTATTCTTTTTCTTTATTTATTTAATTATATTTATTATTATTATTGTCTTAATAATGCATGCAACTCCTAACAACAATACCAACAACACATTCTCCCCTTCTGTATACAAGAAACAAGAAAAATCGGGATCGGTGGGATCGCGATCCCACCGATCCCAACGATCCCACCGATCCCAACGATCCCAACGATCCCAACGATCCCGATCCCAGTTAAGGTGTGTGGGGTGCACGCAGGGAGCGACTGCGATGATGGCCCTTCGTCTCCTCGTAGACTAACAAGGAACTGCAAGACAGCTCTTATGCTTGGCCTATTTGCTGCTGTCTCTATCTATGTATTAGCTACTCTTATAGGTATTAATATATATAATAAATATATAATATATATATATATATAT